AATTTAAATTTAATTATAGAAAATGAGTTGTAATATATCTATATAAAATAATAATCTTATAAATAAAATGTTGTTGTAAAGAAGAATTGGATGAGACTATAATGTATGGATAATCGTTGAGCAACGCTAAGAAGACCTTAAGGATATGCATTTGCATTCTACGGCTAAATGAAGATTATAAACCAGTATGAGGAATTATGATTATTATTTACCACTGATAGTTAGGGATTAGATTTATGATTTTCATCATGAACTGATATCAGCTATTGTTATGACTTTATGTCCGGCATTTTACCACGTGATTTATCTACCAATCAAAATACGACTTATACAATCTTAGCACTGTGCCAAACCAATGACGTTCGACCGGTATGAGCAGCCTTGCGTCTTATTTGGTCCTATGTCTGCCTAGCCCGTCCACTTGAGTCCAGAACACCAAATACCAGCTTCCAATATGCGAATCGAATCATTTATTGCAGACATACTGGGTTTATATATCAACCAAACAGACCGCGACGCATAAAATAGGAAATAACATTTGTACACAACAAAGCCAAAAAGTGGCTGTGAACGTGGGAGGCAGTAGTTAATAAACTGAACATAGCTTAAGAATCGTACAATAATAAATTATAGGTCAAAATAAAGTTTATAATAAGAGGAATATAAATATACATAATCTAATTACTGAATAGTTACACCATAAGAATATATAGATAATATTAGTCAATTATTATGTCTCAGAAGTTACTCATGATTTAATCTTCGCTCGGATATAACAGCTATAGTGCCAAAACTCTATTCAGTCAAATGAATGAATTAATTAATTAAGACTTAACACTGAAAAATTTGATTGGTTCGTCCATAAATTATAGTTACATCGAAAAATTGTTTGAATTCATTCAACATTTTATTATTACTTCTATTCAGTTTGAACAGAGAAATTAATTCCTAAATATCGAAATATTTAAAATAGTAATTTTGAATTTGTAAAACTATCTTTATAGCTAAATGAATATAGAAAGCATGAGACAGTCGATTAAACCGTACTTATAAACTTAGCCATAAGATTATTTGAAGCTTGTGTAGTGAATAGTCATGATGAAATTTCATATTATAAGAATTATACTCCTATGTATATAAATGAACTTGGTTCGTTTAGTTAGAGAAACAATACGTTGAAGTACTGAGTCATTTTTCCATGTTATATAATTTCATATACTAATCATTTTCTCTTCAAGGATCAAATAAATTCATAACTCAGTGCTTTACATTTCTTGAATCCTGAGAGAGGACTTAACTTTAAAAAAGGAAAAAAAAATTCTACACGAATATCCGCTTTTGAGTAGATTTGTGATCATTTCATTCTAACAGAAAAAAAAAATTACACTAACTCAAGTAAACTATTTAAGATCATTGATCCTATCTTCAGAAAAGTTTATATATACGGGTACTTTAGATAATGAAAGCGAATGGTATGGTGTGGATAGCATTCTGCCTAATAAATCCATTAGATGTTGTATTCAAGTTTCAGATGAAACAATAATGTTAGGATATAGTTAAAATTTATTTAATACATTCCAAACAGAATAAAAACATTCCACGTCCAAATAATATTATTATAAAGTCAAAATTGCTTCTTATATATTCATATAGTTAACTGATAAATCCAAAACTACAAAAAGATTGACTACTAATTATTTTGATGCCGGATCAGTGGTCTAGAGGTTAGGCGTTCGCGTACAAGACTGATAGGTCCCGGGTTCAAATCTCATGGGGCGGGATCATGGATGCGCACTGCTGAGAAGTTCTACAATAGAAGGAAAAGGCCCTTCTAGTGCTTCCAGGTGTTCCATAGTAGTCTAGCTTCAATTGACTAATAATCTTAACCATTCAAATATTTTGAATCTATCAAGAAAAAAAGCTGAACATCTCAATTTTTCCCTAAGAATAAAATCCAATAAATTTTAATGGAATTATTTATATCTAATTAGAAAACTAAAATGTAAGTCATCAATGTACTTTGGTAATTTTTTTTCTTACAGTTAAACTGATGTTGACCACCAGATAACGGATATTGATTTGCATGACTATGAAAAGTTCATAATTGTCTTTAGACTCTTTTGTTATTCTTTTGAAATAGAAAAAAATACGTATATCATAGAATAGTAGATCTTTTTTCTAATTGAAAACTTATAAGAGCAAAGAAATAGAAAAGAAAAGCCATGAACCAAATGATTTAATGCTAAAAAATGAGCATACACTTCTAATTTACAAGTTGAATTAATTTCAACTGATTATTTATGTTTTATTTTAATCTGTTAATCCATACAACAATTATAGATAGCGTCCAACATTGATATGAATCCGTGACGAAAGAGTCATTTATATACTAAAATAATCTATACAAATCTCTAAACTAAATCATAATAATCTAATTGCTGATAACCAGCTTGAAGAGATGAATTACTGTGATTAAAATGAAAAATCTTAACCAGTGAAGTTTGACCATGTCAAGATTAGCGTAGTTCCCGAACAATAGCATTAAATTATTGTTGTGCTTTAAAATCACAAACCGATTCCATTAGATGAAAACTTGTTGGTTTATAGATAACATACTCGTCATGTCGTCAATTTAATCCCTAGCCAGTTTATGATTATTTGTATCATTGACCATAACCAAATAGCGACAATATCAAAATTCCAAAACAATTGGAAGTGATTTCTAGTCGTTCCTCAAGTAAGAAGTTAATACACAGACACAGAGTAAATCACGAACAATAAACTACTGATAGTGAACAAAGTGAGGTGGAAATTAAACAGACATCCAAAGCAAAAAAACAGCCTGAAAAATCGAAACTCTACTGTGAACGTCTGAAGTCAAAGCAACAGAATTTGAGGATAGATATTTTGTTACTGTTAGGAGATTCTGCATCTTACTTCACTCTGTTCCTACGTTAATCACTATTAAATCAAGGATTACAATTGTTGAACATCTGAAACCTCATTAAATAGCTTACGCTCAAATTTTACCACAAATGACCTCTATGGAAAATATACAAGTTATCCGATATCTTGTTTATTCATTTATTAACTCAACTGCGTTATCTCGCAGCCCATTGATTCCAAATATTTCTAAGCTGTCCAAGAAATGAAAAACTATTAAACGCTAATCAAACCTTACCTATTCATTCCAAGACTTTATTAATGATTCGTCCACTTGTAACCCTTTAATTGCTTATATCCACGTTAGTTATTTTCAGATTTGAATATAAATCAAATACAAAAAACTGTCTGTACTGAATATGTATGCGAGAAATTCTTAGTTTTTATTCATAAGATTCATAAAGTTCTTTATGGAATATACAAAATCATATCTTCTTACTTTAAATTTTCAAATAAGTCCCTCCTGGCTCCTCTAAGTCCTCTTTTGTAAACCTCCAGTCCGGTTTGGTCTCATCCATATACGGCAGCACACCAAATATGAGTCTAGAGTGAAATCTTGACCGACCTAAATACTAGTGACGGACTACGTCCGAAAGTAATTAAGAGTCGGCCGAAGTCTATTCCCATACTCCACTTTAGTCGTCACAGCCCTCTAGCTAACGATCATAAAATTTATCATAACTTTTATGAATGTGCTTGGAGCATTAAGTAGGATATGATAACAGCACAAAAACCACTAGACTCAAAAGTTGGTTGATCTATTTATGGAACGGAGGATTACATTATACTTGACCTAGTAAATAAATACTGACTCAAAAAAATATGCTATAATAACGTCCTAATCAAACGAATTCACAAAAAACCAAGTTCAAACTAACTAGCAGTGATACCCTCACAAAGAAGTTTAAATTGATATCTTGGATAACACGTTTTTAACTATCTAAAGAGTTAACTGTCAAAAAGAACATTTCTAGTTTCAAATAAAGCTTGCGAATATCAAGTCCGTATTTTATCAAGAGTTAGAATGACGTGGGTAACATAGGTGTAATCCTAGATTTGTTCAAACCAATGAGCTATTTGTTATCTAAATGTGTAAATATTACAATACATTTTTCTGATTAAGTTTTGCTCTAACCAACTGTATATGATAGCCTTCGAATTTATTTATATGCTTTATTAAAAGCTTATAAAATAATGTGAAGCTAATTACCTTAAAATTTAAAAGTAGCCATCATCATGATGACTAATTTACCTTCACCGATCTATAAGAGAAACAATTAACGATTATATCAGAGTTTATGCATAAAATATTACAGGAGTAAAACTGGTTACACTTAGGTCAGTGAAGAATGACAGCCAAATACCATTGAAAATTATCTCACATATTTGCTACAAATATTTAACTTAATAAGATGAGAAATCTATTGTACTATTCAACATTTTTAATAATTATTCAAGATTGATGAGCTTAATTGTGATGATAACAATACATACCTTTTAATTGTTACCTTTTACTCTTTACTTGTTTCATATTCTTTTAATATTCTTCAAGTAGACAATTACCTTTCATCGATGATCTTTCCTCACTTTTCCGCCTCATACCTATCCTACAATCTACTGTGTGGCATCTTTGTGATACCCTAAGACACTTTCGATTGCTATTTCAGTGATGCAATATTCATTTATTTAATGATAAAATTAAGGTATGCCAATTAATTGTAAATACAGTTGTACCTTAGTAAATGATAATAACGATAAAAAAAGTACCATGAACTGTCTTAATTTCCTTCTTGATAAAAAGCAACAAAAATGAATAAGTTTATCTTAAATATTAAACTGATATTCTACAGTATTAATAGCTTTACTATTACTACTGGACCATTAGACAGTATAGATTCAGATATTGTTTACTTACGAAACGTCACCTAAAACAGCTAACCGATGAAGAGTGTAGAGTTACAGCAAATTACTGAAATTACATGTAAGGACAATGAAATTGCTTGCTAGCACCAATATCATCAAGAATGACGACAGTTTTATATACAGCACAAGGAATACATTGATCAATACTCTGTATATTAGAAATTGTAATGTGGAGGTTACGACGATATAAAGATTATTCTCAAAGCGACTACCTGAAATATGCGATTAATCTAATGTTTTGAACTAAATTTACTATGAGATATATTTCATACATGCGAAACTTAGCTTGATTGGGAAATGGAATCTAAGAAAACAAGGTGTATTAAGAACTTGAGTAGTTCTATCGAAACAAATTATGAAAAGAACATTCGATGTTATTCAGCCTAATATAATGACACTAGGTCTATATTGTGCTTAACTTCTTGAGAATATTTAGAAAATTGAGTTATAATTAGAAAGATAATAAATCATTTAAGTCAAATAACTGACAAACCGTAAATTTCACAAATAAATATTAATCTTAATTAAAAGATTTATTGATAGTAGTACAGTAGATTTAAAGAAAAAAATAATAGATAGACTGAGAAACCACAAGGCAGATAAATACAGAAATATTTATGCATGTGAAATTGAAACCTTAATAGTAATAATAATAATAGTTATTATAGATTAACGCGTAAAATATTAAGTGAATCAGAATATTATTAAGCGTATCAGTATCATACGTACGAGACTTTAATCTATGTTAAAAAGATCATTTATTACGTTAATTTGAAAGTTTTTATACGGAACGAGATGAAAGTTAATCGTCTAAACATTTACATAGGAAAATAGTTAAGAATACAGTAAAGAGAAGGAGCACTATACTGTGAGCGATAGAGTGTGTATTAATGGGAAATAAAAATAACTAGTGATAGCAAATATATATGTGCAAATATATATATTCCAAACAACCTATAATTTTACAGAATTGCAAAAGAATGAGTTAATCTAGTAAAAATATCAGAAAGAGAGAAGCAAAGAAATCGATAAAAGAAAATGTGATAGACTGAATGGATAACAGAAAATAATTATTGGTAAATTAATGTTTCAAAACAAAACACAAATGATGAACTGGAGTTTCAAATTTTGTGAACCGGTAGATAAAACTGTACATGGGATTGTGATTGAATCTGAAATGAAGTCTCATTTTGCATATTTTTTAAATAACATGTGTAGGGAAGCAGTCATTAAAACTGCATACCAAGTTTGACATCAGTATAGTAAAAACGGGACGCATAAAATAAATGAAATATATTAAGCCAATGAACTGGTTCTATAAGGTTTGAAGTTATTTTTCCATTTTTTGTTCATGTTACATTACTGAAATATAAGTGATAGTTTACCATGAGCTATCTGTATATTTATTGCAACGATTTCTAATAAGGTATCACAAACGCAACGACTTCATAACAAGATCAGCGATTGGGCGAAAATGTAGTGTTGATCCACGTATTCGTTTCAGTCGGACACCACGCAGGTGAACCCGTGGTAACTGACATACTTCCATTTCCCAATGTACCGGATCTCCACGTAAAAGTCCACCGTGACTTGGAACCTCAAGGGGTCCAGAAAAGGATGTGTTAGCTTGATCTTTACAAGCAGCTTCCGAATCAGACTTTTTGATAGCAGGTCGATCAGCTGCCCAGGAACACTGCAATAAAAAAGGAAGGTGAGGGTCATGTGAATAACGACAACCAGGAGTGACTTCAAGGGCATGTATGATGGACTGAAGGAGTTCTTCTGCTGATTTTGTGCTTGTAGTATATACACTCCAAGGGAACTTGACTTCACGTGGTTTATTAAGTAGTCGGGTGGACGACTGATTATCCGGACGTCCTTCAGTAGATCTACTAAAATGGAAAATAAAGTGAAGAAAATAAAATCAGCCTTTTGTATGTCATAAAACAATAAACAAACTACAGTAGGAATTATGGGATTCCCAGAATTCTAAGTGAATTCTGTAGCCGACCTTGTTCTCTCAAAATCAGGATTTAACAAACAGAGCAGAATGATGCAACACTATGCTTCAGATATAAACTTTGGAAAAACAGATTAAGTCAGGGAATTTTGAGTACAATTTTACCGTATATTCGGAGTGCTTAATAAAAAGTACTATTGATGCTGTCATACTACCACAACCCTGATATCGTCATATTGTAAGCTATAAACACCGTTTAAAGTATGAGCTTCACATTTCTTAAGTGTCACAGACCATTTGAATCCAAAGCGATAGAATTTTATTGCAACAGTATTTGCCAGATGATAGAGGAGAGGTTGAAAACACATCACACTGATAAATCCCGTTAAATAAGCCTGCAATCGATTATATTCTACTTTTTGGTAAGTACCTATGCATGTTTCATATTTAATCAGGTTGACTGCCGACTCAGAAGTCTTACGATTCATCAACAACGCAATCTTGTGAGACAAAAAATGGAATATTTTAACCAGTGTCCACCAAACACAACCTATCTAACCATCTTTTTCGCAATAATAAATGACTTCTTTAATTTGACAAGCTATGTTAAATGATTTAATTGAGAGAATAAATGAAATAATTTAAAGTAATAACTGTTTTATCAACTTTGCATTCACAGAAATCTAAATAAATTGATCATCAAAGAGAACACGGTACAAAAAACAGCGCTGGTACTCACCAACTTAGACTGTTTGCCAGCCAAATAGCTTTTAAAGTCAGTCAGTCAGTCAGCTACAACGTAGGACCAGGCACATATGTGCATCGGTCCAGGTTGCCATACCTCATTAGCACAGCAAGATGAACACCGGATTCATAGGAGTGGTTAGGTCAAAGGTTGCAATAAGGATATAGTATAGGAAGAAAGAATTAGTTCGTAGACAGAAAGAATGAAGTGATTTTAGTCTCTTAGTTTAAGGGAAGACAGGGAGTGTATACACCGACGCCATTGTGATCGATTCTGAGCCATGTCACCAAGAGTCTCCAACCATCGGTTACGAAAGTCACGCGGACCCCAACCAAGTAGTCTGCATCTACCAACATGGCTCAGACTAGAAGTTAGTGACTTCAGGCACTGATGCCACGTTTTGGTTTGGCCGCCCCTAACTTTCTTCCAACCATCCCCTACCCCGGTTAGCATTGCACGTCGTGGTAATCGGTGTTCAGGCATACGTAATACGTGGCCCAACCATCTCAGTCGATGAAGATTCATAACCTCATCAACTGATTTACCATCATTCCCTAATACCCTGCGTCTAACCTCACTATTACTTACCCGGTGATCCCAGCAGATGCCAGCAATATTTCTAAGGCATCTGTGGTCAAATACTAGTAACTTACGGGTGTCTTCTACTCTTAAGGGCCATGTTTCGCTGCCGTAAATTAAAACAGAACGAACTGCCGCGCAGTATACTCGTCCTTTTATTGATAGACGGATATCTCGCCTTCGCCAAAGGTGACGTAAGTTGGCAAAAGCCAAACGAGCTTTTCGAATCCGTGCTGAGATTTCGTCAGACACCAACCCATTAGGGCTGATCAGACTTCCAAGATAAGTGAAGTTGTCAACGCGTTCAACTACTTCACTCCCTATCCTTAGTTCAGGTGTTGACCCAAACCAGTCCTGAAGCAACAACTTGCATTTAGAGGGAGAGAAGCGCATCCCAAACATTCTGGCATTGTTGCTTAGTGCTACCAGAAGACTCTGCATTTTCTCAGCGTCTTCACCAAACAGGACTATGTCATCTGCGTATTCTAAGTCGATAAGTGGGCCTCCTGGAAGGAGATCAATACCCGAGAATTCAGTCGACGAGTGTTATTTCCATCAATAGGTCTATGATGAAGTTAAACAAAAATGGAGAAAGTGGACAGCCTTGACGGACACCACTTGAGGTTGCAAAAGTAGATGACAGTTCGCCATAAGCCCTGACTCGACTAGTAGTGTTCGAGTAAAGAGCCTTCACAAGGTTTATGTACTTCTGAGGTACGCCTTTCAATGACAGACACTGCCACAGAGTCTCGCGGTCTACCGAGTCAAATGCTGCTTTTAAGTCAAGAAATACCACCATCGTCGGACGCCGATAGGTATGCCTGTGTTCTAGAACCTGACGAATGGTGAATATGTGGTCGATGCAGCCACGACCAGGTCTAAAGCCAGCTTGGTTCTCTCGAGTTTGTAGTTCACGAGTCTTAGTTAGGCGTTTGATAATTATCGAGGCCAATATTTTAGATACTATGTTTGTTAAACTAATACCTCTGTGGTTGTCACAGGATGATTTTGACCCTTTCTTATATATTGGGACGATAAGTGATTGCGACCAGTCAGATGGGATAAAGTCTAATTCCCAGATCTTAGCTAAAATATTAGTCAACTTAATCGCTAAAATTGGACCACCATCCTTAAAGACCTCTGGAGCCAATCCATCTGGACCAGCTGCCCTTCCTCGTTTCAGATTAACTATAGCCTTCTCAACTTCAGCAAGAGTAGGGGGACCTACTTCAATGTTCCATTCACATTGTCTGGGAATGGAGGGTAGTTGTAGAGTCGCTGAAGGCCAGTTGAACTGTTCCCTAAAGTGTTCCGCCCATCGTTCTAGACGCCTGGACTTGGAGCAGATGAGTGTATCGTCTTTTTCCGATATAATCTCACTTACACTTGACTTATTAATTCCAGTTTCTTTTATTAGTCTGTAAAGCTGTCTTGTGTTCCCTATAGTCGCCGCCTTTTCCATCTCTTTTGCTTTCGTTGCCCACCACTGCTCACGGTCGTTCTTTAGACTTTTTCTTAACCTAGATCTGATTTGTTGTCTCTCTTCATCATGTTCGGAACCTGATGGGACGAGTTTGCGAGAATCTATCAGTGTGATAGACTTTGAAGAAATCCATTGATTCCTTGTAACTCTGTGGTTCAAATCACTTACAGATGCCACTGCTGTTTCCACAGCTGATTGTATGCCCTTCCAAGCAACATCTGGGTCAGCCTCGTCTTCACAACTACCTAAGTGTGACCTCAGTTGTTCCTGGAACCTACTTTTGGTTTTCTCGTTACTCAACTCAGTTCTAACAGGTCTTTTTAATGTGGCTTTTTTGCGTCCAGTGAGGCGCAAGCAGATGCGTGCCCGTATTAGGGCATGGTCGGAGTCCAAACAGGTACTCCAGAATGAGCGACAATCTTCTACCGACCCTCTCCAACGATGACTGATGGCAATATGGTCTATTTGAGTCCATCGTTGGTTTGGTGTAGGGGGTCGCCATGTTAGATGATGTCTCTCCTTATGCTTAAAATTTGTGTTTGCTAAAAATAAACGATTGTCTGAGCATAGCTGCAGCAGACGATCACCATTATCTGTTCGCTGTGTCGGAATACTAAAATAGCTTTTAAAAAGGGGCAGTAGATATTTAGAACAAACACCATAACTTCCTACTATATTTTACGATCTGATGTTGAGTGGATTTTTTAAAATAAGGGAGATAGGTTAATTGGTGAACAAAAAGCTGGTATCTGCTGAGATTGCTAAGAAATAGTTTATGTAACTTAGACGAATAAAATGGAGACAAACTTAAGATTTATAAAATAATATCAAACCAGAAGGCAAGGTAAGTGTGAATTGAAGTTGGGTTAAAACGTTTGATAATATGTGATCTACAGTGAAACATTAGACTGCTGAATGACTAATTTATTTTTTTCTAGCCAATTACCAAACTAGAGCCTGGGTACACTTGTGCGTTGGCCAAATTTGCTACATTAAATTAGCAAGACGAGATGAAATTACCAAGAATAGTGACGGATTCGAAGTAATGTAGTAATGATCATAATGAGAAAGGTCCATTGTTGGGAATACAGTTTGGAAAGGAATAAAAAGAAGGTATATATGAAGAAATATTGAGACTTAAAATTAAGAGTAAGATAAACAGTGAAAACATATATGGCATTGTGAATTATTTTAATTGATGTTATCTAACATCTCCAATCATTGATTACAGTACCTGAGTAGATCCCAACCAGGTAGTCTGAATCTAACAGCAGAGTCCAGTTCAATATTCAGGGATTCACGGACTTATGTCATAAATTAGAGGCTTTTAATCGACTGATAACTGTAAACATGATTTCCTGACTGAGAACAACATACGTATAATTGTCTAACGGTTATATTTCGAATACTAGCAATAAATCTAAGCTACAATTAAAATTTATCATTTAAATATGATTAGTCTCAGTTTAACTGGATTCGGTCCTTTAGAAATTAGCCTTATATAAAATATGATCTGATCCAATTTTATTCTTGTCAACTAATATGTCAAGTGAACATAAAACCTAACTTGGAAGGAAAACACAGCTAAATTAACATATATAGTTTAGGTTTATTTAATGTACAATAAAAATGAATTATTAAATAAAAATGAAATATTACAACACCATTGAGAACGTGGATGGACTGGAAGGCTGTTTCGTCCTAGCATTGGATTCTTAAACAGGGCCCATTCACGACCCCGCACGCGAGGCCGAAGATCCTTGGTCCGAATCCTGCTTGCAGGATCATGGATAGGCACTGCCGAGGAGTCCAATGCTAGGACGGAACGATCGTCCAGTGCTTCCAGATTTTCAATGGTGGTCTAACATTGATCCATTCATTATCTCAATCAAAACTCAACAATCTCCACAACCCTGTACTGATAAAAATGAAATATGATAAAACTTTTGATGAAAAAATCTATTCCCATTTCATGCTAACAGATGACGATCCTTAGTAAATAAGTAAGATGTTAGTAATTTTGGTAAAGAACAACGTCCGAGATGACCAAACTACATATAACTATCAACTTTGATTTAACAAACTGGATAGTATACTTTACATAAAAAGTACGAATGGAAATCTGGTACACGAATTAGCATTCAGTTATTCTATTGAAATAATAACAATGAAGCATAGACACATGTTTCTATAAGGGGCACTAATCATATGATAAGGTCTCAATATCAAATGGATACCTGGTTGAAGACTTGTCACGTACTGTGGGTGTAACAGTTTGTATGAATTAAATACATCCATGTATTCAATGAATGTCAGTATATTCAAACAAGTCATCACCTAGACATAAGGGAATAAATGTTTGCTTTATATTAGAGAAAAATTTATTTCTTCTTTAACAAAACAACAGATACGAGAAAATAAGAACTCAGCGGACATATACAGTTTTAATTAACAAAAGACTAGCATACCTTTGTACAAAGAATCCACCTAATGCCTTTAGAACACCACGGCCCCATGAACCTTGATGACTGGAATCCACAATTCTATAGAAAAGAATATTGAGAGACGATTATTGAGACAAATTTAATGTAGTAACAATATGTCTATGCTTTTTCATTTGTATTCAATATGCATATAGCAGACAGACATCTTGAAGGAACGAGTATACTGCGTAACACTCAGCTCTGTTCTACTTCATGGCCGTGAAATGTGGCCTTATACTCGTAAGTTATTAGATGACTTTGACCCATTGCTCGTATATTTCTGGACCATCAAGTGAACAGTGTTGAAGTTATAACCGGATTATAATGATATACAAACAGATCTTCCAGTTACCAGTCACAATATTTATTGACTGAAAATAAACTGAAAACTAATTAACCCATATAACCAAGTTGTAAAATCATAAGATGTACTCCGGCTATCTGATGAACCAATAAAACTATCGACGTAAAAGTGAGGAGTTTAGTGTTCAAAAGGATTGTCGATTGAATCATAGAACATCCACCTTAATATTGGTTGGGTTGTTTCGAATAATTGTCAAGAGATTTGTAAGCTACATTATATCAGCAACGGTGATAATCACACAGTTTTCCTTACACTTTGTCAAGTCTGGTAAGAAAGGGTTAGAAGATTGATACTTCATAGTTGATTTCAGTCATACATCAGATCACAGGAAAGCAAATATAATATAAAATAATCTACTTTAAGCCTTTACGAATACCTTATTTCAGCATATGTAAACTAAAATATTATTAAAAAATAGAATGATAATATTTACCTACCATTAATCCCTTACCCACCACAAATTTAAATACGAACTTTAATAATAGTGTGGGAATCCAAAATTATAAGTGTGCTAATCAGGTAATCAGGTCTTAATTGACTGGAGAGTGAGTGACCTAAACAATACCTTTGTCCAATCGCTTACAATAATTTATCATACTTATTTTGTGTTAACATTTGTAGATAGGCACATCGTTTTACTATACAAGTCAATTTTTGAGGGGTTTTTATCGATGCATATTTCTTACAAAAATTTTATTGTTGAAGTGTTGCGTACTAGACTATTGATCTACCATCCAGTTAGTATTAATCATGTTGTATATTGGAAGAATCTACCAACAGTCCTGCCAAAACTTACAACAAAAATATACTTCATTCATATCACAAATCGTCAAAAGAATACCAGGAGTTCACATATTTAGTAAATTGAAGGATTAAGAAATTTATTATTTACACCAAAGAAACTGTACTCTTAGAAAAACACTAGATTTTTTATCATAATCTCGCTAAATTGAGAACGTAATCTAAAAGGCATGCAGAAAATATGCACGCTGGTGTATTCGACGATAAGCATAAAAAGACCACTAGATACTCACATGTTTGCAGCTGCCTCAGGATTTGAAGATGGTTTGGTCGTTGAGTTCACAGACTGTAAACGCAGAGCTTCAAGACGTAAAGCGAGGGCTTCTGTGCCTTGGACTGTATGTAATACTTTAATTTGTGGATTAAGGGATGGAACATTTGCAGTTTTATCCGAATTGTTAGTCATTTGGTTTGTCTTATCAATAGTTGTTAAACTACGACTGAGTTCTGACTTTTCATTGCGAAGATTAGTTTGTTCGAAGTGAATGAGTTCATTATTATTCCCCGGTACTACTAGACAAGAACGATCATCATTCTCTTTAAATTCCTGTTTTGCTTCTAAGACCGACTGAGGAGTAGAATGTTGATGATGCAAAGAGGAAGCATTAACTGATTTGCAAACGCCTTGAACAATTGTCGTAGCCCTTTCTCGAAGTTCGCTTTCAGCACCAGAATTAGATGAAGTACAACTTGAACCAGAAATTTTAGCTCCGTTTGCATCTATCATATTTCGTTTCTGTGTTCCTTGTAATGAGCTTTTATCGTTATCACGACAAGTGTTGTTTATAGAACCACGATAGTTCATATCTGAACTAGCTTTCATTGCAACTGAGGATTCTTTATTCATTTTTTGAGTTCCATGACTTTCCGATGACGCAGAAGAGGTATTAGATGATGAAGAATGATTACGAACAGCTGGGCTTTTGGATCTTACAGTAGGATTCTGAGAATGAGAAGCACTTTGTGGATTTAAAGGCTGACGTTTTTGTGTCTGTTGTTGTTGAGACAAACCAAACCCATGTTTTTTGACAGCTCCAATTGGAACAGGTGCTGCAGTGATAACATCCCTTAAAGGCAAACAATAAAACATCAATTTTAAGCTTCACGTTGATAAATTATGAACCAATGACTAAGGATTATATAACGATATTGACAAGACAATACTACTAGCCAAGATAAACCATAGGCTTTAAGGAATTTTAACAATCAATCGTAAGGATTTAAAGTTCAGCCATTCAGTTCCAAGCTCGAACCCTTCAGTCTGGACAGTCAGTATCGCTAGTCATAAAAGAGTAAATGAAACTGTAAGCTAAATACAAGGATTTATACGTAGTAAATTAGCTTTATCTTATAACTTCAAACTTGTGGCTGAGGGTCTACTAGTGCTACACATTATCTGTTTTAAAATGAAAGCTTAAATAAGATTTAAAAATTTACAAACATTTTCGTTTCATATTACATACAGTTTAGTTTTGTTTTGTATTAACTTACCTTCCACCTCCAGAAGATTTTGGTTGGGATTTATTATGACGTCCTGTAAGAAAAGAAATAGTCTTGCAATAAATATGTACAAAAATAAAACATGTAGTTGTGAAGTTACTAAAGGAAAAATTATAACTGGTGTCATTTGAACTTATAAAATCCTGGGACTAACCAAAATACTTTAGTATGCAGTATATATATATAAAGTGTAACTAAAACCTTACGTAGGTTGTTATAAAAAAATTTTCAATTAAAAAGAAATTGAAACGCACTCCATAATAACAAACCTGTGTGATTAGAAATATTGAAGTACATAAAGATGGAAATCAAACTGTCAGGTCTATGGAGATTATTGTTTAAAATCAATGGAATATTCACAACAAAAATTAAAAAATCCTTTGAATTATGAAGCGAAACGCTAGGAAAACAAACTTTAGGCAGAAAAAAACTCTAATGAATTTATTGAGAATATGGAGGGAATGTATATCATCGAGGCTAAAAAATGCAACTCAATAATCATACGACAAGCTGAAACTTAGAAGTAAAAAGAGCGGGAAACTGTTAGAACTAAAAGAATGTAACTACTCAAACAGAAACAGGTAAATTAAATTTCAATAAGCAACACTATAATGAGAATTCTATATTGTACCAAAAAGATAATATTGAATAAAGCGATTAATAATAATAATAATAATAATAATAATAATAATAATAATAATAATAATTGAAGAACAATGTACAAAACTACCCAATTATCATTAAAACTCAACATCTAAAGTCAGTTTAGTTGGGTAAGTTGATGGAATAATATGAGTCACATTAGGATTTTACCCATTGTTGAATGAATGAAGATCCAAACATGACTACAAAATATCTGGTTGATTTTAAAACTACTCCAATGTTATACTTTTTGCAGTAATATTGGAAAAAACAAGATGATATGAAACTTCACGAATGCTATGAGTGAAGAGATTACAAGATCACTTAAATCTGAGAACGGAATGAAGACTCAGAAACAACGAGTCAATGGCATTCAAGGTTCTCCCAAGTGGGAACTACGATATGAATGTGAAAGTGGGCGCTTTTGGCACGAAAACAAGAAATTTAAATTTCCGGAACAAAATTAGGAAAATAAGACATTTACCAAGTGAGTTCTGGAGATCTAATATCCCGAACAACGAAGTACCACCTGAATAAATAATTTCTAAAACGTGTATAAGATCTCCAAACGAATTAGCGGTTTCATACAGCCTAGATTTCAGCTGCTAAAAGTTCATTTGTATATGATGTTTTTCACTGAAAAAGATAATGATTATAGTGACTTACATATAAGCTGGGGCCCAATAATTCCATCACCCATATTTTAACCAATGTATTCCAATATACTCTTTATTTATTTATTTATTTAAACACGTAAACATTGGTACAAGGAGGCACCAAACAGATATGTGCCGTAATTCATTCGAGTTGTATGAGTGCTGAGATACTGCCCGGACGCCCAAACCGAAGTAGGTGGTTTTCTTAGGGGACCATACCCGAATATGCTCTTCACCTACTTTATTTTAATGTGAATAAATAGAACACTACTGAGTGGTCTTAGTCAACAAACAATCAACTGGTATTTTATTACTTTAATTAAATTGCAGACAGTAGTACTTTTAGAAAACCTTGCTTCATTGTTGTGTTAAATACTCTGAACAATTTAATGAATAAGATCATAGTTTACGTTCATTATTAATATTCCACATGATAAACATAGTCAGTTGACAGAAAAACTTAAATTGCTAAATATTGCTAGTGAAGATACACAGATAGCCACTAAGTGGCAATTCCATTTAGAGTGAAAATTTTGAATTTAACAGAGAATTAACTATTTTAATCCAACATGATGATTAAAAATTTAAGTACAATTCAGAAACAGGATCAAATGAAGTATGAAGAGGTGAATGAATACCTGTAACTAATTGTGCTGTACCACGATTACTACTTTCTTCATTACTTGTTGTGGGAGTTCCTCCTCCAGTGAGATTCCGACTAACTTGCATTATTGCTCGTTTCAGAGTATTTGGCAGTGCGGATGTAAGCGAATGATGTTCTCGATTCCCATATTCAAAATTATGTACATTCTTATGGTGTGCTGAAGCTTGGTTAGATTCAGATGTCAAGCTACCCCGAGCACAACGTCCAGATGAAGAATGACTAGTAGGTTCATTGACTTTATTACTTGGAGCCACTGTGAAACGTCCAATAGCAGTCGGCTTCGTAGAGACAGGTAATTCTGATGACTCGGAAGAACAACTATGAGTCGACTTAGTCTCCTGATTGTGAGTAAGCAGAGAGTTAGGTAATGCGATGGTATTTGGTGAAACAACCGCTCCAGGAGCCAAGTCTTTACAAAGCCTATTAGGATTCAATACGAAATTACACCATAAAGAAATACATATGTTAATGACTACGACTGTATAGTAAGCGATAGACTCAAATCTAAATAACAATCAGCAGTTTGTTATATACTAAACTCATTGTGGAATGGTTGGAAATGTCGATGTCTAAATGTAAGTAGACATAAATTAGTCCAAACTTTAAATCTAATGGCTAAAACATGGCTCCAGTATCAAACTTTTCATACACATTATAACGTATGAATTATACACTACCAAACAAGCAAAATAATAAAAATTCGAAATAAAAAGTTAAAGATTCTGCAAACACATATACTTTGAAATTTTCTTGCAGACTCATGGGTACTTTAGTTTACTACACGTGCGTGATACACATTTTTTTAAACATTCATTTACCAAGTAATCAAACAAGGTCATAAACCTGAATTTTTGCAAATTAAGTATGGAGAATAGATGAGTGTTGATTTAAGAGTAATGGTCACCATCACTATTTCACTAAGCTGACATTTTCAGGAGATAATATCCACCTAAATACATTGTGCTAATGAGTAATAATAAGCACAAAACTTATTTTGGGGACTCAATTCAACAAACGCAAATTATCTATCGCACGCTACATGATTTCACTAAGCTTTTGTACATTTGTTGAGGTCAGGTATATTAGTTTTTGACATCCAACAAAATCTGTTAGTTTTCATCAATCTTGATTCTCTATACAAGTGAACGAGAAATTTACATAAAATCGAGAGTAATGAAAACATATGACTGTTAACTAACTGGTATCGTAAGCCGACTAAAAAACTCAAACTAGTGCGGGCATACAACTAGCTCTTGAAATTGCCTTCAAACGCTCTGGTATGCCTAAGAGTGCGAACAGTCTGCTTTCCCTCTCCAAATGCTCTCACATGGTCACGCGTATACAGTCACTCCCAGAGAAGTCCCACTCACTGCCTTCTCATGGAGGCGGTGTTGTTTACAAAAGTGAGAGAACAAGAAGCGAATGTCCGGCGCTTTAACCGGGTTGGTGGACGTAGAGGGTCCACCTAGGGGGTTGGAAAACTCAGATTCCAAACCAATGGTGTACATGGGCTCCAGTATCCTGAAGGAACAAATGGAGTATGAACCAATTATTGGTCACCGGCTACTATGGGACAGCATTTCCTAACGTTGCTCCATTGCCTTGTGGGTTAGACCTTTAGGTCGAAGGCTCTGGGTGAAGTCCCCTAAGAAAACCAACTAGTCCGGTTTGGGCGTCCGGGAAGTATCACAGCCCTTATACAAACCACTGACAACTACTATTGACCTCATTATTATTGTGTGGTGCACATGTATTTGTGCCCCCCTTGTACCAATATCTATGTTCAAATAAATAACCTTGAAGTAATTTATACTTAGCTCCCTTGGATATCTGAGTATTGACATAGCTAGCAACATGTGTACCTAGGGTCTAAAAATATGAAAAAAGCTTCTAGGTTATCCACTTACGAATTTTTTGTAAGTAGTAAAACAGAAAGGATTAAATTAAGAACACCGGCAGAACTTACGTGGCATAAAACTAGTCAGATCGTTTCAACTGATCTCAGTTCAAATGTTTGCATATTATAACTGAAAACAGTCTACAACACCGAGACAAGCATACTTCACTTGACAGTCAGATTGTAGAGATAAACAAATGTAAAAGCTGTTTAGTTCAGTCTAACGCCTAACAACCTATGTACTTCCATAAAGTTATCGATACGAATATGTCGTTCGATAAAATTCTCAGTCTAATTTCTAACATACCTGGAATAAATATGTTAGTTACCATAGTACAGAAATCTAATTAGTGCTTTCCGTTGCCGATATATAATTAAACAATAAATAAATTCGTACTTCCTACATTACTAATGTGTAAATGTATGATAAACCAGGATCTATACAGAATTAGACATGAGGTTGCTGCATTTGTTTTTGAGGATAACACCCAGTTGGATGAATTTTTGAGTAGTAAGAACTGACCTCAATGACGTACAACTTATAAACCAGTAAGTGGATTATCAGATCATCAGTCAGTCAGTCAGCTACAACGTAGGACCAGGCACATATGTGCATCGGTCCAGGTTGCCATACCTCATTAGCAAAGCAAGATGAACAGCGGATTCATAGGAGTGGTTAGGTCAAAGGTTGCAACAAGGATATAGTATAGGAAGAATTAGTTCGTAGACAGAAAGAATGAAGTGATTTTAGTCTCTTAGTTTAAGGGAAGACAGAGAATGTATACACCGACGCCATTGTGATCAATTCTGAGCCATGTCACCAAGAGTCTCCAACCATTGGTTACGAAAGTCACGCGGACCCCAACCAAGTAGTCTGCATCTACCAACATGGCTCAGACTAGAAGTCAGTGACTTCAGGCACTGATGCCACGTTGCCGTTGTTGCTACCCGATCGTTGTTGCTACCCCCGACCGTTGTTGCTACCTTGACGTGGTGGTCGGGCTTGCCTATCGTGATGAAGCAACCGAGCTATACTGGCTGGAACAACCGTTCCTCAAGGTCCTACCATGTCAGACAGGTCGGTTGAAGAGCGGTAAGACTAAAAGCAACAAACCCAAGGTCCGAAGGCGAAGTCGTACTGCTGACTGTACAAAGGTGTGACAGTAGTAAGGTGTTTCCTTCAGACAACCAGCATGACAGCGATGCTGCCTTCCCACAAGGAGGGGTGGGGTTAGAAAAGGTCGACCCTAAAAATGCACACCTCGCCTTATCCAACGGATATCCGTCTCCGGCGGTAAGGTCTCAATAAGTACGGAGCTAACACAAAAATTACCCATAAAAAGGTCGTGTGTGACCGACCTCAAGCAGTTGTCCCTTGGGCACTGCGGTCACGCTCTCAGGTCACTAAGACCACCTCTAATCCAATTTCCTTTTCAGGTACCTCCAAATTATCAGATCATAGGCTCTGTTGTAACTAACTGGTAGCAAACATTGGTAACACAGCCTTTTTATTTTCGCATATCCAAATATAAAACTCTGGTAATGGAACTGACAGACAGACATCATAGACATGGGGTCTAGTACAGATGCTAGTTGAGTAACAGGACCGAACAATATAAATATACACAATACATTCAGTGAATAGAATCGAGCTCCTTATCAGAAATAGAGGAAGACAAAGTCAGGATGATTATAAATCACAACAAAATACATGAGAAACGACCGTGTTTTTATTATTAGAGAATGAAATTAGAGGTCTAGTGAGCATCAGTGACTTGTATCAAGATAAAGAACCCGAGGTTCTATAGGAAAGTCGTGACCTGTTACGTTAACCAGGTCAGTAGTAAAACAAATGTCCATCGATAGCACTCAGTGCTTGGACAGCAGAGTGGTCGTCGCTAAGTTTCGTTCTGTGTATGATCGTGAATGTGTATTGCCAAATATCAAACTATGACCAAATGGCTCCCCAGTGCTTACTCATTTTTCAATTACTCTTCAAATGATGTTAGTTCGTGATGAAGAACGCTGTCCAACATCACAACTACTATTTGCTATTGTTATTCATGCTAATTTTTTTTCAGTTTCCCAAACTTCTAAATTGAACTTAGTGGGCTGATACCCCAAGGCCTATGGTCATCAAGGTTAGTAGAGACTTCAATATAAAATAAAAAGTACTACCTCAGGTAACTTTTTTATTGATCTTTTAAACACTTACTCAACAAACTGAGATGGGGTTTCGGGCAATAAGTGGTAAGTTGCATACACATGGTCGAATGCAGGATTAACTACCGATGACTCCAGATCAGCTCTTGTAAACCCCATTTCTTCCATAGCTTTCACACGATTATCATCCAGTTGGGATTTTGGTACTTCTCTATAGGGACGAAGATGATCATCTGGAGCGTAGCCCATATTCACCCACTTGTCAAGCATCAAAGACTTGAAAAGAGTTTTAAAAAGGTTAAATTAGTCTTACAGAATTTAGGCAGTTTATACAGTACTCACTTACATACTTGTTATGAATCCTATACACAAAAATGAAAAGAAAGTAGGATGATTTAAGAACAGGTATTTAATCGGAAACCTAACAAGGCCAGAAATTTAAAATTTTGGAAATGAAAGCAACTGGTTAAGTCTTGTCCTAAACCCTTTTATATGTCACATAACATCATTTTATTAAGTTATAAATACAATGACGAGATTTTCTGACCAAGTGTGCGAAACAAAGTTCTATCATCTACTTACTCCGGCAAATGACTCCATTTGTTAATAAGAATTCATTCAGGAAAGCCAAATTCTAATGATTTATGAAGTTCAAAATAATCACATAAAACATTACACCAATTTCTAGATATCATGTTTTTTTAGTTTCCAGGAAAATATTTACGTTACAAAGTATCAAATAAAAACAAGTAATTCAAGTTGGTGTCTGAAATTCAATTCGCAGGTCTAATGTACAGGGATTACCAATGAAACCCAAATGCTCAAACTGAAGTAGACAAAATGGATTGAAATCTGCTAATCAGGTGATAAACGTTGATCGATTAGATCACTAACTTGCGATTACAAATTCTCTATCAAAATAGTATGTAAAAGCAGACATATCTAATTCCAAAAGTTGGGAAACGGTTAACTTAAATACAGCTCAAGCAGTAGATAGCTTTCGGTAGATGAAACGGAAAAATGACAATTAAAATTTTACGACGCAATGAAAAAATAGTAGGAAGCATTATCTTTAATGTAACTTAGTAACCAGGTGCAGATCGATGTATCCAACTATGAATCATACATTTTACGTGACAGCTGGTGATACTACGCGGATGATCAAACCGAAGTAGATAGAGTTAAAAAGTTGAATGCTTTAAATATCAAGCCACAGATCCACGAAGCGCTAGCTATTTTCTATAAAACTCATTCAGTTCTACTGACATGCAATAACTTTCAAATTCACATAAGCAGCAACAAACAAAACTAAGAATAAACTGGTTAACTAACTATAATTCGTTTCTGGTTTAATAGTTGATAATAACAGGAATTAAATTCAAACCAAACCTGGACAAAACAAACACATGGTAGATTTGGCGTAAAGGTGTGTCGGTCTGTTGCAACAATTCACATTTGTACATTAAAGGATGATCAACAAAAGGAAAAACAAAATTATCCTAACAACAGTTAAATAAAAGAATAGAGAAAACAAACGGAAACAGGGCAATAATATACGTAGGATAATAGGGTGTCTAAAACTCTGACTGAAACAACATACATATACAAGTGAACCACTGAGAATGTCGTTGGACTAAAACATTATATTTTTAAGTACCGATCACGACTGTCTCTTCGGTCATGGGCGTAGAGTAAACTCCCCACTACACAGGTTATACCAAAAGAACAGTTACGTTATAAGCATATGCTTACTCCGACCACTGACCCATACATAAAGCGTGGCTTATAATCGATTACGTGAATCCAAGCTTGATTAATGAGTCGTACTGAAAATGATCGATCCATAACAAAGCTTTGAAAGTTAGGTCAACATAATTATATTAGAATACTTAAACACTCCAAAATGTTTTGAAATATTACCTTCAAACTATTCCGTTAGGAAATTTTAAACACAAGATAAGCCTATTGCTTTTCAATAAACCAGTGATAAACATATCTGAGATTGATGTGAAACCAACTTATTTCTTTCCATCTTTTGTCAGCATGCAATTGATAGTTTATGAACTTAAGTTACATTAAATATGATAATCAATAAATATAAAAGAACTGAAGGCCTACCTTTAAAGATGAACGATCTTTAGGGTCAAGAACTAACATTTTTCTTAACAGTGTGTCGCATTCTGGAGAAACGGCACCACGAGGTATAGTGTAGTGCAATCCCAAGATTTTGCTCCGAAGTTCACGAAGATCACGTGCATCAAACGGGAGATGTCCCAAAACCAAAGTAAACAGAATCACACCGAGAGACCAAATATCTACACTAGGTCCATAATACGGAATCCCCTGTAAAAGTAACACAAATAAAAATAAAACAATCATGCAATAGAGAATTGAAAAACAACATCCTTTTTCAAGTTAACAAAAGAATCCTAGTGCAAATGTTACTAAAATATATCTCACGTGCAACTAAGAAGAAAACACGTCAACGACGGGAAATACAGTGTACTGACGAACTCCGATCACTGGCTGACCAGATGCGATTTGAGTAGCCTCAGCGATAAAAAATTTATTCCAGGTAGAGTAAAAACGCCTTTTAGTGTATTGGAGTCATGTTCCTAAAACTAATTTCCTTAAAAGCTATTTTCAAATGTCAATAGTGATTTAAGTGACAGGATTTGGAATCTTGTATACACGTCAATGACACATCACGGATATATTTTAGCGTCCCAATAAGGTTGACTGGTTTGCATTAAAGTGAAAACGTAAAACGAAATAGATTGTTAACCGACGCAAGATATTGGGATGGCCTAATCTGTTGTCGTATTACGTGACAATCTTTGAGAAGTCAGCACTTAGTGACTTCAGAATGTTTAGAAAAGGTAGAACTTTCGATAAAACAGTAAACTGGGATAATAAATAAGGGAGGAGGGAGTGAAAACGACATGGAAATAAAATGATACGCGAACAAAAGTTGATATAAAATGAGTTTATTCATTTTAGTTTATCATGCATTAGTATTGGTTAAGTGGAAAAATAAGGACCTTTGGGATGTCTTTAATGCCAACTGATATAGTAAAATATCCATTTTAGAAAGTAGACTGCATTTATTTACAAACTAAAAATGACTACGCGTATACAGCCACTGCCAGCGAAGTCCTGCTCGGTGCCCATTTGTACCAATATTTGTGTTCAAATAAATAAATATAAAGGACATTTTATTGCACTGTCGCTGTGATTTATTCAGATACTTTTAGTGTAGCAATAATTTATAAACTATTTTTACACTCAACTAGAACCAATATACAATCGACTCAGGCGGATTTATCACAAATTCCAGCAGCATAATAACTGTTATTTTTAATGCAATCATTTCCCTAAAAGTGATGTCTTGTTTGATACCATGGTATTTTATACTTTGAGTATGGATGCTTCTATATTCTATTTTCATCATCAAAGGAGCGTTCTTAAAAAACCAGCAGAAAGAAAACATTTTGTCTGTTTAAGTCGTTTACTGTTTAACTGTTCAATCAGGCCACAAGACAGATATGCGACTCAATTAAATACGAAACCATGATAAATTTAGTTTTAAAAAAAACAAATAAAAAGAGAAATGGCCCTACAACTGGGAGCATGAAGTGATATATTGAAAGATCGCGAACTATACATTAGAATTTATAACTGCTTACCAAAAACAGTTCTGGAGCAGCGTATGGAGGACTACCACAAAAAGTAGTCAACCTTTGATCAGATTCGAAGGTGTTGGCCAAGCCAAAATCAGCAACCTTAACGTTTAAGTTCTGGTCGAGCAAGATGTTTTCTGCTTTCAGATCTCGATGGACAATTCGTTTTGCATGACAATACTGCATGGCAGAGAGTAACTGTCTGAACTTTACACGTGCCTTCTTTTCACACATCTTTCCATTCGCGACAAGATAGTCAAATATTTCACCTGCGGTATCAATTTATTGAATATAAACAGTACCTCCACTAGCATATTCCATAACAAGACAGAGAACATCTTCATTTTCAATTATCTCGAGTAGTTTGACTACAAATTTAGGTGGTTGACTAACACTTACCAATGTTTGGGTGATTTGTAACTTTCATGATAGTTATCTCACGTTTAAGCTGATTGTAAAAAATTGAAAATAATTTTTTACTTACGCGTTTGAGGAGAGTATTATCCATGACGGTCTTATTAATTATTTTTATGGCAACCTGGAAATGTTGAAACCGTATCAAACCTTACTTCCACACCAGTGGCCATATGAATAGCAAGCTTGACTTTTGCGAAATTTCCTTTTCCTATAGTACGTAAGAGACGGTACTTCCCAACATTGTTATTCACAACAACAGGGGTAACTGAAGGTTCTGCAGTCGTATTATCACGGTTTTGGGGAGCCTTAGGGTCTGGATCAGAAACTACTGCTTCGGTAACTGAACTGACCATGTCGATAGTTGGCTTCGATAGTTTAAAATCATTGAATGCTTTGTTATCTGTGACTTCCTCGACGTTAACTAGTGTGGAAGCGATGTCATACAGTTCCGGTGCACATTTGGCTATAGAGCCAGTATCCACCTCCATCTGGAGTGCTTTTAGGTGTATTATGTCACTTAATTGGTTGATCTCATATAAAATTGTTTCTACACTTACTTCTATAGACTAATCGTGCAATAAGCTAAGAGCTAGCATCTTATCTAGCCCGCCATAATAGAACGTCCTTCCCGCTGTTGGATATACTACTTTATGCTACAAAACTAAACAAACATTCAAAAAAACCAGGCTCAGTTTTTTCCACCTTTTATAGATGATCCGATTTATGGTTTTCGGGCTTATCAGATTTCGTATCCAGTAGCAACGAGTCATCGATCCGTCTGTGTACATTAGACCACCATTAAAAACCTGGAAGCACTGGACAGACGTTTTGTCCTATTTTGGGACTCGTGAGGGAATTCTCGGAGTTATAGTGAGAAGCCGTGGCGATTAGAGTTTATTCGTGTCTAGAAGAGACTGTTATCTACCTCAGTAAGGTACAAGATGGTCGCCCAATCTCGTGGATAGGTCGGGGTTAGACACTAACACCGTTTGATGCCAACTGAGTTGCCCAAAGGTTAGGTGTTCGCGCGCGAGACTGAACGTCCTGGGTTTGAATCCCGCGAGAAGAATCGTGGATGCGCACTATTGAGGAGTCCCACAACAAGACGAACCGTCCGTCCAGTGCTTCCAAGTTCTCAGTGGTGGTCTAACATCAATCGGTTCGTTATCTGAATCAAAAGTTTAATAGTCTTCACAACCTTATACTGACCATCTGGGTATAGACCAAAGAACAGGAAACGAAGATAAATTAGAGATGTACAGGCGAATTAGTGTGGAGCTCTATTTAGAAGCACTTTCACAAAAGACTCCTAGGAAGTCGCTATGACCAATTTAGCAGGTAACTAGTTCCAAGACTCGCTCACTTGCAAAGAATAGAAGGGATAACTATGGTTCGATTAGTTTTTCTGGCTTCCTAACTTACATGTGTCGCTCTCAGGGGGTCTACTGGAATTGATCCCAAGTGGATATCCTTGTGTGTGAATCACTACGGAACGCTCATCCCCACATAAAGCCACTTTAATTTACTAGACCAACTACCCTGCTTGTTCGAAGGAAATCGAAAGCTAGTTTTGTCAGCAATAATGTGTTTATATCCTTTCACACATATGTCTTCATGCTTGTAAAAAAATGTATGACGGGCAACATGTGATGGCACATGTATTTACTTTCTCAACGAGTCTAAATGTTAGTTGCTTGAGACGTTGATAACTCCGCTGCTATTAGATGTTTGCATCTAGTTTATATTAATTAATTCAAAAAGTTGTTTTTTCACCCTGATTTCACACTTGCTGATCGTACGTTTTCTGCTACGTTTGTAATAAACAGTTTCCACAACAAAGCTTCCGATTCTGTAAGCCTTATACGGTCGGAAACTTCATAATAACAGAAGTTAGGTCGAATTGATATGCAAAGTATATGAACAGTCGATTATATTTCGCAACACCACTCAAATGTTACATTCCAATTTTATATACACTGGAGAGTAAATGCGCAATGTCCATGTGAGTTTTTCATAAAGGTTGCACTTCGGTCGCCGAAGTGATTTAGGAAATCGTCTTTGGGTACGTTACGCTTTATTCTTATTTGGTTGCAGCAAAGGAAGAAACAGCGTTTTGTTGCCTCTAATCTGACCCCAGGTAGATCGCTTCTGATTGCTATCGAATGACTTCTGTCGAATTATACATCCTGGCTATACTCGTACATATTCATCGACTTAACCCGCGTTAGTGAATAACGGAATTAAACAAGTCAAATTCGAGAATGAACTTTGAATGAGTATATTTCATACAATCGTTAATTTGGACATACAAGCTGGGAAACGGAGCGAAAGAGGCTAAATGGATTGCAGAAGACATGATAGCTAACTCAATTTGGCCATGAGTGAATTAATATCTATAGTCCGACAAAATTAGGCTACAGACAGGTGATGAGTAAGGTAAGTAATTAGTACAAATACGATCATATGAAAAAGTCGGGATTATTTAGCTAATAAGTGACAGGGTAAAAATAAGGCTTGAGAAAATGGAGAGATTGATCTGATAAAAGAACCGGAGAAACAGCGCCCTACTGCTCACCACGTATATGTAGAAGGAGTGTTTGAACTTATGAGATATAAATTACTTAAGCTATGTATAGAACAATCTTATGGAGTGGATAAGTTACCATAGAACCACAAATTATTTATGACGCTCGAACAAAGGACAAACTGAATAATGATTGGTAACTCATATATCAACACATGAAGGAACGTTTAAACATACCTAATTCACAAACCCCATGACTCGTTTTGTGCTCACGTTTTCCTATGACTTCGATCCCCTTCTATGTAATTTATCTGATGTCGTGCAATAATCACCTTCAGGTATTGTCAGTTACTTCCTTTATGACTATGTAATGACGAGAACGGCCAAAAACGTGCATAAAGCATTTGGTTGATGATACCTGCTGGGATTATAACCTAATGAAAATTATTGTGCGGAACGAAACATCGACTGCGAATTCGTCTCAGCCAACATGCAACGAACCGTCATGTATTAAGAATTATACGTTTTTTGCAGTTTATCGGCTGTTAACCTACTTTAAAAACAATGTCACGCTGGTATATTGGAATCTTAGCTCCTCATATGTTTGAGCTCAGTTACTTTTGGTAGGTGCTTATAGGTGAACTCTGCTTTGAGCTCAAGCGTTGGTCCCTGGCTAACACTAGTGTATTTGAACTGTGATTAGAATTTATCAGCTCTAACTTTTGGTGAATTGGTCAGTGGTTTGTAATCCGTAAAAACTATGAAGCCTCTGCCTTCCAGAATGTGTCGGGAATGCTTAACCGTTCTTTTTCGGAGGAAGAATACCTCGATTCTGCTGGAGTGAGTCTTTTAGAGAAGAAAGCAATTAGTTTTTAGGCGTTCTTCACCGCTAGGTTAAGGTTACCGCCTACCGCTTAGTCCGAAACACCTACCGTTTAAGAAAGTGGGGAAAGGGAATTTAGATACATCAACAAAGGTGCTTGGGCCAGTTTATATTTTAGTGCTTTAAGAGCCTCAACGGCCTAAGAAGTTAGCTTGAATTCTTTCGGTCTTCCTTTGAGTGAATGTCAAACGTTGCATTAATTGTGCACAACCGGGCATGAATATGCGATAAAATTTAACTGGATCCAGGAAACTTCTAAGTTGTGATAGAGAAGTAGGTATGAAGTATTGTCGGATGGTGTTCACTTTTTCTTTGACTGGTGTAATCTCTTCCGTGCTTATTATGTGCCCTATAGATTCTAGGGTTCGAACAACGAAAACACACTTTGATTTATCGTCACTTCACTTTCATCCGGCCGTTTTAACACTGCTCTTACATGCTGTTCGTCTGATTGTATATCGGGACTGGCAATCAGCAAATCGTCTATATACCCCTGTGCAAGTCACATGTCTCGAAGTAGGTTATTCTTGAATCTTTGGAATGTTTATGCCTCGTACCTCAGGCCGAATGGCATGCGTACAAACTCGAACAATCCAAAAGGTGTAGATTTAGATAATAAACTTGCTGAATTTCGTCGGTGCTTACGGATATTAGTTACCATATCTGATTATGTCAGTTGTTAGTTTATTCACTGACCAACTGAATATTATGCCATAAAACCTATTTCAATCAAAAAACACCCGACAACGTGAAACTTTGGAGAGAGATACGCAACCAAGACGATATACAGGCACTTCAGGAGGATCTGACTCGACTTCAAAGTTGGACAGACGATAACGGACTTACCTTTAACACTTCAAAGTGTAAAGTAGTCCATCTGCGACATGTTGCAAAATAAAGTTACAACTTAGGAAACTCCTCTCTAGTAGTATCCCAAGTCGAAAAATATTTAGGAGTCCTGGTGCCCCATGATTTAAAGTCTCACGCTAACTGTGACAAAAACGCCTTCCGAGCAAACCTTGCACTGGTAACGTTGAAGCGCATTTTTGGACAGTTTGACGGACGAACTTTCCATAAAATCTTCAATAGTTTCATCCGTCCCCATTTAGAGTACGGAAACATAGTACTCCCTCCCTCACTCCAAAAGGATAAGGTCACTTTGGAGCGTATCCAACGTCGAGCCACGAAATCAGTTCGAGGACTCAAACCTAAACCTTACGAAGAACACCTCCATTCACTAGACCTTTACCCATTGGAGTATAGACGTCTTCGAGGTGATTTATTAATGGCTTATAGTATTCTTAACACTTCTAGACATCCTCCTAAACACCTACTTAAGCTTAGTTCGAATAATAACCTAAGGGGTAACACCCAGAAACTGGAAACACAACATAGCAAGACGGAATGTAGACACAACTACTCCTTAAGAGTTGTCAAATGCTGGAATTCGCTGCCGGCCGAGCTAGTCCAAGCGACTTCTCAGGAGTCCTTCAAGAGGCAACTTGACCTATTCTTAAGGACTAAGGACAGCATCACACTATGATTTACCGATTTCTTTTCCTTTTTTTGTTAACATACCTAGGTTCCTGCCTGGAGGATTTGGTGATCCCCTGCTACTAGACACGGAAGCCTGTTAAGCGAAAGCTTCTTCTATTCCGTCCACAACCATTTGAGCACTTGTTTTAAATGACCATGTCGACCTTGACCAGCCGACCCACTTGGCGCGACAGTTGATTAGCTAACGTGTTGACATCGAGGTGGGTTCCGATTTGAAGTATATCAGATGTCGGAAACGAAGATTGCAATGAGGAGTCCTTATTAAGTAGAACTACTTCTTATAGTAAAGGTCGAGTCACGACCAGTAAAACCTGGAGTATTAAACTCTGTATCAGTAAATATCCATAAACTGTTCGCATGTAACGGAAATCAATAGGAACGGAGAATCTTACGATTAAGTTCATACTCAATCAACGATTTCTTCATCACTGTAACTTGTACCTGTTTACTTTTCTGTTCACCTTATATAATTGAGAGAAGTTAATGATTTCGGCTTCCCTTTTTTATTACGACTGTTTTTTGTATTCTAAACTAGTCAGGTTCTTCTTGTGGAAACATTTACTATTAGGTAAGCTGGTATGGTTCTGTTGGACAAGAACCTTGACGAAATACTATTTCATAAACATTGATTAGCAATGCATATTAATATTCTGGGATCCAATTAGATTCTGGTAAAGATAATATCTTAGCACTAATGCAGCAAGTTTCTTTGACTTGTACTTAATCACGCTACTTGAGGTATGGATGACGTCTGCCAGTTGACGCAGCAGTTTTTTCTATTAATCTATGGCTCCACATTGATTATAACTGACTGATGGTTTTGAAACTTATAATTTGGTCGTTATTACGCATTCGAAAGTTGTTTACAAATAATGAGAGCAGTTATTGAACGCACCTAGATACTCTTTAACATTATCTTAATATTCTCGACTCGATCCCCAACTATTAATCAGACGAAACCTATATCTTGTAAGGAGAAGTAGCATCCCTTTCATACTTTTTTTCCAGTAATTACTAAGCACAATTAGATGACCATGATATAAAACGGATTAATACCAAATAAATGTCAAAAGTTAAATATATGTCAGAACGTAGTAGAATAATGTATTGAGACAAATAATGGCCAGTCTTTTCCAAATCTCAGTTAATTTTTAAAGTGGGTCACTGTCATATTTAAATTGTCAGCATTCTTATTTTTAACTCAGTATCAGAAACAGCCTAATAGAACAAGGGACATATAGACTTCAAGTATTAAGTCAGTATCTTCAAACAATTCCTTGCACCTGGTGGAATAACCGAGTTAGTAATTCTAAGGTTAGGCGTAAAGCTTTACGCAAGTTTGGAAAATCAGCTAGTTAAAATGTCAGTCTTATCGACTGAATTGCCTAGAACATATACTTCATATGTCTAGTCACTGCTTATCTCGATTTTGCATATTGGCTGAGTTAAGATTACACTAAACGTAAGAACAGCGATGGCAAAACTATGTAGTCACCGACTGTGAAACGAAGTCGTGCTAAGTGGTTAACGATGGCAAGTGTCTCGTATACTGTTACCCACTCTGATTCGTAAAAGTAACACAAAGAGTCACCGTATGATAACGTTCTTTGGTAAAAATTCAAAGTCACATACAACGTAAGTTATGTTATTTTGTGCCAATAAACATTCCGCTAAGTAGCAGGAAGAATACAGGTGAACAAATCGAACAGTAAATAATTATGCCGCTTGCAGCTGTACTGTTTGCAAAAATAAAAATAAACTTCGCATAAATGCTGTAGTTTATTTTAAAACTGCTAATTTAGATTTATAATGGATATCAGTAGCCGGAAACAAAGAGATCGTCAATGTGTGGGCGTGGAGATTGTTCGATTTCATTGGAACCGTGAAACGATCTAAGACCATCATTGAAAACCTGGGAACATCGGACAGTTGAATGTAGTTAGATATTAGCATTGTGGAATGCCGTCTCACTGGTCTAAAGGTTGGGCGTTCGCGCACGACTAAAAGTCCTGGATGCCCCCAAACGCTCTAGTATGCCCAAGGGTGGGAACAGTCTGCTTTCCCTCTCCAAATGCTCTCACATGGTCACGCGTATACAGTCACTCCCAGAGAAGTCCCACTCACTGCCTTCTCATGGAGGCGGTGTTGTTTACAAAAGTGAGAGAACAAGAAGCGAATGTCCGGCGCTTTAACCGGGTTGGTGGACGTAGAGGGTCCACCTAGGGGGTTGGAAAACTCAGATTCCAAACCAATGGTGTACATGGGCTCCAGTATCCTGAAGGAAAAAATGGCGTATGAACCAATCGTTAGTCACCGGCCACTATGAGACCGCATCTCCTGACTTTGCTCCACCGCCTTATGGGTTAGACCTTTAGGTTGAAGGCTCTGGATGTAGTCATCTAAGGAAACCAACTGGTTCGGTTTGGGCGTCCGGGCAGTACCGCAGCCCTCGTACAACTAGAATGAAGTGCGGCGCATATCTTGTCGGTGCTCTATTGCACCAATGTTTATGTTTAAATAAGGAAATAGGTAATCGGGGAAATATCAAGGTCATCATGTAAGTAGATTTTCAGAGTCAATCTAGCGACGAGTCCGAAGACTTGACTAGTGAATTTCAGTTAGTCAGAGATTAAATAAATATTTCTCTAGACACAAAGCATATCTAAATTGCAAATAAAGCAGAAAAGTATATATTACGAGACTAAGAATGGATTATATAACATTTTCTTACTTTTAAGAGCAATATAGTTCAAGTAATGATTATCACTGACTAGTAAATTATGATTAGCAATAACTCAAAAGTGTAAAGAATAAGTATCCTTTTAAAAGTGGTTTTCTACTCAATTTTCATCAAAGGTTTTCTTTTTATAGACTGAGTTGTTTGTCTTGCCGTCACACACCATTGTATAATTCAATGATGGAAATTGAGATTAACAGTGATCTGAGTGGCGATCAGAACCGTCCAGAACGTACTTATGAGGAACAAATACAATGTGTAGGTGTGTTCGCCCAGCCTATGGCTTCAAAAAAATTAACAAAGCGTTTGTATAAACTCGCTCGAAAAGCTAAACGCGTAAAGAAAACAGATGTCGGAATCAAAGCAATCTTAAAAGCCATTGAAAAGAAAGGTGTATCTGGTATCGTCGTATTAGCTGGTGATATTAGCCCGTTTGATCTGATATCCCATGTGCCATTGGTGTGTGAGGAGCACGACATACCTTACTGCTATGTTCCGTCAAAGTTTGACCTCGGTGCATGTGTATCTTCAGTTACCCCTATACCTATCGTTTTCATAACACGGGATGAACAGTATGGTGATTTGTATGACAAGTGTTACACTGCTGTTGACGCATTACCTCTTCCTTTATAAAATCCCTGTAATCAAAAAGCAGAATTTTTTCAATAAAAATATTATTGCACTTATTCTTCTGAACAGTCGCTCTTCGCATTACAACACGTGATAATTTTAGTACTATAGTCGACATATTTTATTTGCATAACTTAATCATTATTTAGTACTGGTATATAATTTCAAAAAAGTAAATTAACAGATGAACGTAAATGACTTCATTATACTGATTCAACACTAACAAGCGTGTTAGTGCTAATTAATAAAATTCCCGATAGGGTCAGAATCGTTGTTTGGCCATCATCTCTAGTCAAGTAGTTTATTTTTATCATTGAGTTTTCATTATTTTGCATAGTATCGGTATGGCAACTTGAACCGATGCATATACGTGCCTGGTCCTACGTTGTAGATGACTGACTGACATAGTATGAATGAGGGGAAGCAATATCATCGACTAGAATTAGTAAGTAGTCTACAAATCGTTGAATGTGAGAATGAGGTATGGTACCTACACAATGCGCTCAATTATTTCTGTATACAAGATACTGCTACCTTTTTATTGAAAAAGTTGCCGCGTATCAGTTACCATTTATGATGCTAGCAAAGACTTGTTATAAGATGAAGATGATGATAAAGCCAGAATGAAGCAAGTTAGAAGAGACAACTGAATACTCCAGTTACATATTTACTTTGGCTTCTATCAACATCAAAAATATTGCCCATTTTTCGACTACTTTCAACTCTCTTAAACGACTTTTAAAACACTTTTCTTTGCATGACTAAGAACAAACTTCCACTTACCACAGTGGATATGCATATGGGAGTCAAAACATGGTATGGGATTATGTACTGTTACTGAGTCGTATGATTTATATATTAGCTAGAGACAGTAGTCTTTTTGGAGCATTGTCTTTGGATATCCTTTAACTCCTACGTAGGTTGCCTCTTACATGTCGTACCAAATAAGTTAAGTAACAGGACTTTTTAGAGGAAGAAAATCATACCGTTTAAGACTACAATTTGAGGCAGTACAAACTGGGTCTTCGTTTTTCCTCTCACCACTGAGTTATAATAATTGTCGAGTTTAACTGGGATGTAATTGTGCGCGTGGTAGAATTTATATTGATTCATCGATGTTCAGATTACGCTCGAGGCAATTGTTTTGAATCATTTCAGTGTGTAAATTGAATCAATCAAATAAAAACTTGTCTTTGTTCGTTATAACACTATTTAGTTCAATATAGCTGTGACTAGTTTCTTTTTGAGCATGATGTTTACATCTCACGATCGATTACATTTCGATGAGAGTTAGTTACAATATTTTTAGTCTAGACGATGTACTAAGAAATTGGAGGACTCGTTCCAATTTATATTATTCGTAGCGATTAACATAAATATAACGCGTACTGCTGATCAGTAGTACAATCAAACAATGCTAAAGGAAGCGTAAGTATACTGCAAAAGAATAGAAAAACCTGACCATAGTAATAAAGGAAAAACAATATAAACCATTGTTTAAGAAATCAAAATAGTTTCACAAAAGTTTTATAAAAATAAGTAAGTTTCAGTTTTTACGAACAGCTACGAGGTATTCGAGATAATAATAAAAATCACTACTTTGTGTTATTTCTGGACATCGGTACTATCATTCGAAAGTAAAGGCAAGGAGAGTTTTTCCCTGATTAGATTCTCTAAATAAAATAAGAACCCATGCACATTCTTGTAGCCTAAAACATGGTATAAAATATAAACGGGTTAAATATAAGCTAATTATCAGTTAAACAAAAAGCGAGTTAATAGGGTGATAGTTTCTGTTTAATTATATTTATTATTTTTTTAAAAAGGGTGACGTTTGATTTACCCGATTACTTTAACTATAATGACCGAGACGTTTCTACAGACGTGCGCAAAACACATCGGATAAAAGACCTACACAAGTTTTTTGTTCGTTGTTTCCATTGGGTAACAAACTATAAGGTACCATTTCTGATCCACACCAGTCAGATCTCTACTAAAATAAAAAATATCAAACATACATCAAAATATTCTAATACTTAACCCAGATAGACTCACTATAGTTAATATAAAAACATTTCACTAACTTGGAAAAATATTTAAATCGATAATAGCGTATTTGTTTGATTTCGAGAGAGCATCAGATATGGAATTTTCGGTTGCACAAATGAGATCTATCCCAAACAAATCAATTTTGAGCGTTTTTCGAACTTCATGTGCCAACATATTGAATAGGGACTCATCATATGAGGTTGTCGTTTGTTTATCGGAAAATGAGCTCAACTAAAATGAAAGATGAAAACAAACTATTCGGCTAGTTTTTAGACATCAATGGCATCCATTAACTGTAGTTTTATTTTTTAATGCAATATAGTTGACGCGATGAATAAAATTTACATACTTTTTTACGAGGCGGTTTATCATGCTATAAAAACGTGTAAGTGACGGATCCCACACAACGTATGCTATTATTGCAGATAAGAAACAAGCGTTGATTTCAATGTATGATCTTCCTAACCGTCTAAACAAGATATTATTCGGATAGGCAAAGAACTATTGAAATGTTGAAGATAATTGATAACCATGTTCTTTAAAGACACAAGACGACCAATATTTGAGACGAAATTACCAATTACATTCCTATAATTGCCATAGGATTTGAATTACTCTGACTAACATTTGATAGTAACTGGAAGAATACTACTATGTATTAAGGATATCATCTGTACCTCAATTCCCGCCACAAACCGTGGTAGATAATGACTCACGATGCTTGATATGATATAGTCTGTACAAGTTTACAAATTTGCCTAATTTCCACTCCCTGACAAAACTTGGTACCTGCTCTAAGTACTTATCATACAGCAGTTCCAGTCATTACCTCAAGTCTTCTTAACTGGTTTAACTAAAAACAATACATTCTCGACAAATTAGTAGGATGACTATCGATGTATAATATACTCGTGACTATATAGCAATTCGAGTGTCGTACTTGTATCATGGACTGAGAAATGGTAAGTCACAGCTAAACTTCTTGTACTTGTAGCGACATACTTTTGACCACACGCATATGATGCTTTACATTTTTACAATGGTTTACACACTGCCACTATCCAGAAGCATATCAATCCTAGAACATCCACTTACAAGTGGGAAGCATAAAATATGTGAAAATTAGTTTCTATTTGAAACTCAGAGCTTTTTGGGAATGAGGAACTTTGATATTTATCACATAAAGTAGCATAACGGTTTCATGAGGAAGTTGGTGTACGGATACTATATAATTATGATGAAAAATAGCCAAAGTAAAATACCAAGAAGACATATTTCCAACGACTTGTCGGATTCCTGATGTAGAGGATGGAAGTGTCAGTGTAGAGTTTTTCATAACTCATATAATTGTTTAGGATGTCACCGACAAAAGCTGACCTAGTCGAATATAACATTTGGTAAATACAACTTGTGTGTCGGTCAATTAAGCATGTTTATATTTTGAAAAGCGATGAAGCATAAATGCTTTTACTACACAAACCTTAGGATTTTTAAAAAACGGTTATTAAATCTTATCAAACATGGTGATCTCAATTTAAAACAACTGCGGATGGTGAGAACGATTCACAAAGTGCTGAATAAGAGTTTAATAAATATAAGATTGTAATGAGGATTCCAGTACTTACTTCAGATAAAGGCGATTGACAACCATCCTTCGATACACTATGTGAATGAAAAAATATTGGAGTTCTATCTGTTGTGGAGAAAAAGCAACAGTGTACTTACAGATTATTGGGAAAGAGTAAAAAATAATCACCTAAATAACATGAATCAACGAAAAAGACATCTATAAGTCATCTTTGTGAAATTAATGGGTTCTCTTTTATTTCCGAAGAAGTTAGAGGTAGGAGTTATTTATCGTTTACACTTACATTTCAGCAGATACTTATAACTAATTATTAAATAATATTCTATTGCTCCGTTAATAGCTATCAGGTGTTATCATTCTATTCAAACGCTTCGTTGTAAAACTTGGAAGATTCATGTGTGAAAGGAGAGGTTCAGTGAAGATGGAATAGATGTTATACGAAAAAAAGTTGTTTTTTTAATCATTTCAAAATAAACATTTATGAAAAGTAGGTAACACCATCTGTAGAGTAAATAAACTTCAATCCAGAATATAAGAAATGTCATTAGCCAAAAATAACAACGACAAATGAGCTTAGAAACTGGGGTAACCATTAGCATACTGTAGTGGTCTCACTCTGGGGTTATTAAGCTTTGTAAACTACTTATGATTTGTCTGTTCTAGTCTTATTTTCTGCACAATTCTGCTGCTTGCTATACGTTTAATCCGCTACTCGTTTATGTCTAAAGTAAGTTAGAAGGAATCTCGTATCATGCTTCCTGAAATTAGTTTGTCAGTAGTGGCAGATTTAACAACAGATTCGCTTCAGGAAATATACAAATTTAGTCGAGGTTTTGTGGTCTTGTTGTCAGATCTAACGCAAACCACAATAAGTTTTTATTCATAAGTTATTATGATAGCATAAACCAAATTATATGTTTCAAATTCATTTTAATCACAAGAATCTCTAATGAGATAACTTCATAATATTAAAATGAAATTTCAACATGAAAATCTTTTCAACTGATCAAGAAAATAAACCTGGAGACTGATATCAATTTTTTTTAATAAAAAAAACACGATTATAAAGTTCAATATTAAATTAGTTGCATCGGTAATTTATAAAAGTACATTAATATAATCAAGTTAAAATGTAAGTTTATTTCTAAGGCTGAAATGAATTTTAATTGGACTCAGATTTTTAAAAAAAAAGTTATTTAAACATACAATTGGTAACGACAATGAAGAAATAGTAAAAGTTAAACAATATCTAAAGTACAAGGTTATCCTTTATTATCAGAAACAATAGTAGTAGTGTTAATTTTATTAAATATAATTAAACTAAAGAATTGATTCTTTAATCAAGTATGAATTTTGATTATCCAAAAAAAACTTATTATTAGTATATAATAAAGTATAACCTTAAATGAAACCACACAATGTTAGAGAGAAAAAGTAGGAATAAAGCTTAGAAAAGCCAAATCACATTTTTTTGTTTTATTTAATGTCATTACAGTGAAAACACATTCTATGCATTTGTAGATAAATTATCTAAAGTATATTGACAAGTTAATATCAAATACAGTTAGGTCTAAAAAAATGAATGTACTTTCTAAATAGGTAATCAATGGGTTTTTTTATAGAAAAAATATTTAACTGCTATTCTTATGATTAAACAAAAGTATGACAGATTACAAACTGTCCCTTTACTGTAATACTGAAAATAAGTTTTTCATATATTCTACG